ATTACCGGAAAATTTTGATGCATTAATTTCGGAGAATACAATTACATTAGAAATATTAGATCAATTCTATATTGATTTTCATACAAGAGAACATATTGATGAACGATTAAATAAAGTAAATTATTTAAAAAAAAAGCTTTTAAATTTTTTTTTATTTCTATTTAAATCAAATTTTTAAAAAAGAGTTGTAAAAAAATTCAAGATCATTTAAATTTACATAGTTGTATAACACGAATTGTACTTAAAATGGTTGCTGAACATTTTAATGGTATAATGATTATACCATTTCTTAATGAATTTAATAAAATTCCACGTTTTATATCCATTATTGATATATTTGATGATTTAATAAAATCACGTCTTATATCAACAACTGAACTTCTTGTTTTTTCTAAACAAGATATTATTATTAAAAAATCATCTCTATTAAAACATTTTGAATCTATATCATTATTTTATAACCGTAATGCTGATTTACTTCCTGAAATAACATTAGTTATGCGTGAAGATGATTAAATTGAATATCTAACAAAACGCGCAATGACACTCAAAGACATGTATATTAAATCTATATTAAATAATGATGAGCGTTGAAATTTTATTACAAAAAATCTTATTAAATCAACAAAAAGATTATCATCATTATCTATTCATGGTAAATGTTTAAATATTAATGAAATGAAAATAATATGTATCTACTTATAGAATGGATAAATCCATGGGAAACGTACCACTTTATACATGACATTCTCAGAATTGGCTGAAACTTTCAGAGTTTGTAGAGCTCGATGAGCTGATCATTTTGGTAATAAGTTATTAAGGACTTGTATATATTATAACGATAAAATAAGCAAAATACATTTATAGGAATTTTGGAAAAACCATGGTTAAATTGAAGAGTACTAGACTTTGTGGAAACCTTTTCGTCCTCATTTCAACACCGAAACAGAGCATTCTATATATATTCTGATCGCTCGCTCTCAGCTCTATCGAAACATATAGGCCAGCTTCCGAATGTAAAACTTTGAATGGGAGCTCAATTATGTCAAAGCTACACAAACTTGGCCTCCGAATAAAAAACCTCTTCCGAAATTGGGAGAATATTGGGCTACTAGTTTTTGTAGAGCGTCATTTGCTCTATCACCTGGTATATATAGCTTCGAAGCCGGTTTCCATTTTCACTCGTCAGAGAGCGAAAATTTTCATTTACTAGCGATTTCTGCGTGATTTTATTCGATATTCTGGGATTTTTTAAAGAAAGACTCAATGAATGAATCTGAAAATTTAAATCTAGATAAATGTCAACAAGTAGAATAAAAAGCATGCGAAATTTTATAAGTCATCATGTTGTTTTTCATATAATTTTATGTCGGTAAAATGTTCAAAAAAAGTGTTTCAGTTCTTCAATGTTTGAATTTATCTTTGTTAATGAGAATCTCTGGAATATTTTATTACAATAACATGACCATCTAATCGGACTACTTACTCGTTTCGATTTAGCATTTTATCATCTGAGGGTGTGGATGTGGGGTGTGGGTGTGGAGTGTGGAGTGTGGAGGTGGGTGTTGGTGTGGGTGTGAATGTGTGTGGCTGTGAGAGAATAAGATCAATCCACACTCACCCACACCCACACCCCACACCCACACCCCACACACCCATACCCCACCCACACCAAATGATAAAAGCAGTAATTTTACACCCACCCACACCCTCACCCCCTTTCTAATAGTTTAATTAGATTTTGCAATCGCAGATGGAATTAGCCATCTACACTGGATCATCTATTTAAAAAAAGGATGTCTGATAAAGTTCGACTTTAGTTTCATAAACGGTTTATATTTTAAATCTTTGAATTCATTGGCATAAGCAAAAATTTCTCTAAAAAAATTCTGATCATCAAGGTTCAAAGTCTGTCAAAGTATAATTTCTATGTTAATAGCGTTTATTTAGATGCAACTAAAAGGAATCAAATGTTTGCATTGAACCTCGTGGTCTTGTGTTCTTATTCTTACTAGAATATTTATTCATTAGTTCATTTTTAATAATATTATGGGAAACAAGTGATTTTTTTATAATCATCTATTTTATTTCAGTAATATCAAATCCAGCACAAGGAAAATGAACATTGATGTTGCCTATACTTTCATTTGAACGGCGAAGCACTATTTCATAATCATCTGCTGCAATAAATGTTCCCTGTACTGGTTCACGACCCATATCATTGGGTAGAACTTGTAAACATTGCCCTTTATGCCATTTGCTATTTCTTTTGTTGTCAATGTAATTTGGTTCACTTGGTTCGACTTGTTTTGCTATTTTGAATGCTTCTTCTGCAGTTATGTCTATGCTTGTACCATGACCCAGCGTAGCGATACGCTGAAACCATGAAACTAGTCTCGGTTGAGATAGTTCTGGAAAGAAATCTTTCGTTTCGTTTTCAAAATTGACTTTGATGAACCAAAGCAAATGATAGGCAGTAATATCGAATGCAGATGGCATTGAATCTCCGAGTAGAAACATTCTGCCGTCGTCGAGCATGTTCGTGAGCCATGCAAGATGTGCGTTGATACGCTGTACTGTCAACGGTATATCTTTCTCGTTATCTGCCTTGGTAAAAGTGATTTGAGGGGCGAATTTTTGTCGATCTGAAAGCCACTCTTTCGGCAACTTGTCGCCATGAAGACCAACTCGTAGCCTAAGCAATTCTTCAAATATTGCTTTATCCCACCACCAACACAGAGGTTGTGTTAATCTGTTGGAGAAAGAAGATGGCGAATCGGGTCGAAGACGATCCAGAGTACGCAGAATCAGATGAGTGTCACAATACATATCAGCACCGACCTGTAGCACAGGTATTCGTCGATAACCACCAGTAAGAAAATCAAGATGAGGCCTTGGAGGAATTCGATTAGTGATAACGGAAAACCATTTTAATTTTTTCAAACCCATCGCCATTCTCACCTTCTCCGCAAATGTTGATTGCGGATAATGATATAGAATTAATTCCTTGGACATATTTGTGATGCCATCAACTAAAATAATATGCAAATGATAATATTATATATCAATAGTATACTTATTTCTTTTAGGAAATGTACGAGAACTTTTATTCTAATTTCGGCGATTTTCACATTCAGTAAAAAGCAAAATCCTTGAACTGTACCAGATTATTGTAACTAAGCATCTAGCAAGTACTACATACCTACACAGAGTGTTATACGTCGACATCACTCAGTATAGAACGAGAACCACTAACATTGTCATGTATGGTTTTTTGAGTCTTTCAGTATATGATCTTCAATTTAATAAGATAGGAGAGAATCTCATTGTTAACATCACTTTCATCAATGAATATTAGAACAGAAAATTTCCTTCTGTGAATGTATTCTGTCTGTACATATGCAAAAAATGTATGAAATCAGCCTTTATGATTGGATTTATGTTTCGAATACTTATTTTTGTGGTACATTTAAATTATATCCTTCATAGAATTCATGCAAGGTAGGCGATTGCACTATATCAGCATTTTACATTCCATACAAGTTATCAGAAAAAGGTCATAATCACTCGCTCAGGTATCTTCTATTTTTATCGATAAGTAACTAAATCTACTCAAACGAAAAGGCAATGATCACCATGAAAAGAAGCATCCCAATGGTAACAGGTATATAAAATGTATTCCAATTACTGTAATAGAAAAAGCACCCAGGGAATTATGCTGTTCGCAAAATGTCATTCTTCAAGATGATCTTTTTAACAATCGCACTTAATGAATAGACGTCGTTGCAAAAATGAATGAAATTCGGTCAGTAGTAAGTGTTCAGAGTGTCTTCAAAGAAAGTAACAATGATAAGAATATCGTCATATTGAACAAAAAACATTCACCTAAATGTGGGAATAGTAAAAGTGTGGATGTTTTCTGTTGCTATTTTATATTCGATGTAGTCATAGTATACCAAACACAATAGCCAGTTATGCTTCCTATAATTCCAAGTAAGTATTAGAAAAGTGGGTGATTGACAGCAGTGTTTCATTATGATCTCCGTCAAAATGAAAGTTTTACAAAAACCAATGCTCTTTTCGGACCCACACTCTTAAATTTTATCTATGAGCTCAGTTCAAATCGCATTCTTTATAATCTGCATATTCTCAAAGAACTTAACGTTGCAGAGTTCTTTCAATCACAAAAGAATATTATAAATAGGTTCAGCACTGGATGAGAATGTTCCTCTGAAATATGAGAAGATGAATCTGTTTTTCTGAAACTTATTAAAAAAAATGTTGAGCATTACATTCTGTATGCATATGCTTTTGTAATTCTATGCTGTATTAACATATTTGACCCGATGGGGTTCACCGGTGGACCCCACTTTGCATTTCATATTTTAATCTCTAAATACGTTTTATTAAAAAAGCAACATATACCATAAGATTCAGCATGAAAAGCTCTACAATCTCCATAGTAAAGCTTATTTTAATTGTGTAATTTTTGTTTTCAAAGAAAGTCAAACTCTGTATAACTAGTTTTGGAAGTTGCGAAACGATCATTTTTTTTTGTACGAATGTGAAATTTCATTTTTCTTGTTTCATCTTTTTATCACCTAATATTATTTCGTAAGAAAAAACAAAATATAGCACAAGATGCAGTGTGAAACGCTGTACAATCTATATCGTAAAGTTTATTTTTTGTTTTCGAAAAAAGCAAAATTCTGTGCAATCAATTTTCGCAACCTCAAACATTGGTCACACACAATTTTAGTTTATTTTGAAAACAAAAAGTACACAATTGAAATAAGTTTTATGATGTAGATTGTAGAGCGTTTCATGCTGCATATTGTGGTATATTTTGCTTTCTAATAAAATGTATTTAAAGATGTTAGTTTCTATGAAATTTGAATCGGGGTGAATGTGTTAAATAAGATATAGTTTCACAATTGAAGTGCATTACCTGTTGATACACTGTATTTTCGAATGTTGTAAAATAACTTGGTTGCAGAGTTTAGTTTAAACATAATATGTGCGTTCGTTTGAATTAGAAAACAACGTCTGGCTACTTCATAAAAAGTAACAAAATAAAAGCAATACGTTGCCATGTACTACGAATAGAAATACATGATAAAGATTAAGTACAGATGGCAGTAGTTGATAAGCACTTGAATAGTCATACCAAACCGAACCATTTTTTACTGATAAACATAACATATCTGAAGAATAGAGACTTGAAAATATACGCCAGACTTTAGTTTGTGTTTCGAATGCTAGAAAGGTTTTGTGATGATGATTGTTCGTAGAAAAGTCATTAGTAACAAAACTTGCCATAAATCTTATCTAAAGTTTTCAGACAGTTCTCCAAAGATGCATTATAAATAGAAATTAGTTGACTTTTTGTGTCGTGGATTCCAGAAAGAAAATGCATCAAATTTTTTTTTTATTATAAGCAGATACTTCCCAATGACCCTGACGGCCCTAAAGGGACAGTTCAGCTTGAAATGTTGTGCATGCATTAAGCGTATCAGAAAAAGAGAAAAACAAAAACAAAAGCAAAAGTTGTAATTTGCCATGTGTAAAGCAACTGGATAATGGGATAAAAGAGTGCACAGGCTTGATATCCATAAGAATGAGCAGGGATGAGTACAGATAAAATAAGAGAAAGGAGAACATAAGAGAAAAAGAGACGAGAAAGAAAAAAAAAGAGCTTCTCACCGTTCCTTCCATTTCTTTTATCTATACAGCTGGAGTGAGAAAATTAGGACTCAATTTAATTTGCAAGATGTAAAACGAAAAGAAACCCGAAAAAGAAGAGAAAAAGAAAAGGAAAGAGAAAGAGAGAAAGAAAGAAAGAAGAAGAAGAAAAAAAAAGACAAAAAACGAAAAACATTTTGCTGGCATCATGCATCCCCATTCAAATTGATCTTTCTTTATTTTATTTTAAAGCTGGCTAAAGATATTCTCAGATTTAGACTAACTAGCAATTATATGCTAGGACTCATGGTGTTTTCTCTCATCATTTGCATTATTTCATAATAGTGTTTATTATTTTCACTTGCTGTTTGTTGTAGTTGTTTTACCAGCTCTTCAAATTTTATTTTGTCTTCTGCGACACTTGCACTAATTGTTGACAGGACAGCTGTCTTGTCTTGAGTTGCTCTGCTAATGTACTTAACGAGTTTAGATACCACCCATTTTGTTCCTATTCTTGCTACTAGTGCCATAAGAATAAGAGAACAAATAAGGACCAGGACGAATTCTCGCCACGATTTGTGCGGACGAGGAGCTCCGAAGACATGCTTCTCAATTTCTTTGGTTTTTTCAATAACTTCTTTAATATGACTTGAGTTCCCATAGTTGTTTACGATGAAGTTAAACCTATGATCGAACTATTTAATTTGATTGTTGTGATTCACTATCGTATTAATAAGACCTTGATTTTTGTTGTCATTCTGCTGTTGATCAGTCTTTTCAGCATCCATTTTTTCAGTTTGTTGCTGTTTTTCTAACGCAGACATTAGTGCTCTGTCAAGATACGTATGACTTTCCTGACTTTTAGGTTGATCGCTTACCGCCGTACTAATGATGGATGAGATACCACAAAGGGTGAAGAATATCCACGTGCATAAAAACATAACCGAGTGTTTTTAATATAGAGACCGTATACAGTTAATATTTAGTGTTTGATTTGACTCCAGTGAGTTTCGTATCGTGCTGAATATTATATATGTTCGAGGAGATAGTTATTTTGTTATCACTTTCGTCTGTTTTGCTTGTTCTGCTATCACGTACCATTTCTCTCTTGCTCTCCTTCTTCTCTCTGTCTGTTTTTGTTAGCATGACCTTTAACTACTTTTGTTACTTTTGACCATACTGTTGTTAGAACGTTTCTGGGAAGCAAGCGAAACAAAAAAGTTCGCCATCATTGTAATTGATAACCGAGTCTGCCGTTCCTTGAGCTGCTATCCATTCTATCGCTTGTCCTAATACATCCATATGTGTTACAAAACGCTTCGATTTGTGTAGACAGCGGATTGATTTTCCACCTTCTCGCCAGTTCGTCCTATACCTGTTTAGTTCCGATTGTTCCAATAGGAGGAATCCATCTCTGGTTTTCGTTAACGCTTTCAAATATTTTTCCCAGTACTTGTAGCAATAATCGTCAAGAGTTTTTTCTTTGTAAATTGATGCGAACAGGGTGTGGGTGCATTTTCCCATATGACCGGAGGAGCATCAACGTATAGATGTGGACGTATCACTACTGGTGCTTCCATTAGTTTTTCGTAGTAATCAGCTGCTGTGTCTACCATATTCTGAGGGTCTCTTATGATTTCTCCCTTCGGTGTTTCGAAGCCTCTAAGTGATGACGATATATGTCGAAAATGTCGTTTAGTTTTGCTCCAAAAGAGTGCTGAATCTTCACCTGATGTGTGCCTTTCTCTCACCTGTTTAGTTAGTTGTTCTTGTTGAAGACGGCTTAGTTCAAAACGTGTCGCGTTACGCAATCGACGAGTTTCATTACGAAGGTGAATATCACCTTTTCGCTTTGTTTTAAACGATAACGAACGACTTAACGCTAATAACTTCAGGAGTTCATACGGTATGGAAGGACGAGCATGATTAAGAGCGAAGTACTGTTGACATCTATTATTAAGCGACGTGAGAAACGTAATAAACTCTTCGTACGTTGTTTCAGATGCTTGAGTGTTCCATTCTTTCTGTTTCCAAAATTCATATGTATAAGATAAAAATAACGAGAAGACCGACCATACTGTACGAGACCCCTTACGTTTCTTAGCATCGTTGTCTGTAAAAATACCAATTAATGGTTTATGATCACTGTTCGTAATTTCTTCATACGTTTGAATTGTTAAATCTATGCCAGTTGTTAAGGCGTAGTCTATGGTACGATTTGAACGAAGTGATGTATTAGAGTCCGGAACTACTGGTCTAAGATGACATGAGTCTATCCATTCGAGTAGTTGGTCACCTTTTTCACCATCTTTTTCAATATCGACATTAAAGTCCCCCATGATAATGCATCGATTGTTCGTTAAGTTTGTAAGTTCAGACCATCTCCAAGTTTTACTTTCTGGTGCAAATATTGCCACTAGCCTTGTTGGTTCGCTCAGTAACAGATCAATTACACAGACATTTGGTAGGGAGCAGGAAACTCTTGTAGCAGGAATATCTTTTCGAATTAGTACGAGCACATCACCATGTGGATTTTCACCAGCTTGATAAAATGCGACGTGATTGGATAATGCCATGCCTAAAAGAGAGAAATCCATGTGTCCGACTTCACCGAGCACTATGATATCCGAGTGGTGTTGTTGGATTAATAAACACACCTCTCCCCATCTTAATTCGAGACCACGAACATTGAAGCACAGAATATGCATATAAACAGAAGGCTGTATTGAGTGAGGAAACCGAATGCCATTCTCCAAAAATTTCCGTGAGTAAGATGAAGTCTTTCTGACTAAGCTAGTTCTGAGCATTTTCTAAAAAACATTTTGATTTTGATTTATTTTCATATATACATTTAAAATTCTCATCGCTGAGCATGGTCATTGATCAGATTTCGATAGAGACAATTGTACATCATCTAATGCTTTGATTTGTTCTTGCCAGTACGATTTCCACTTTTTACCTTGCGAGGCTTGTGGACCAAGAAGTGCTGTACAGATGTTCTTAATTAAGTTGCATGTGCGCTCCGAAAGATCTTCAAATTTCTTTTCGATCGTTATTACATTTTGCTCTAATACTTCCATTTGTTGTTTCACCTCATCGTAGCGATCTTGTATTTCTTGTTCAAAATTTATTAAAGATTGACGTGTTGCCTTTGATTCTTCTTCCACTTTTGTTAGAATAGCATCAAGTTTTCGGGATATAATTTCATTTGAGTTTGTATTGTATGGCATTAATTTAACTACGTTGGCATACGATGCTCCTGCTGTAGTTGTTGAAGGGATCTGCTGATACTCATTGTCTGGAGGTTCTGTTTCAATGTTTTAATGAGCTGCTGTTATAACATTTGCTAGGAGATTACGAGTTAACGTAGCACGATACTGTTGAACTATTTTGCATTTTTGATCGTTTGAGACATGTGCTTCACCACAACGAATACATTTTGGAATACTTGAGCAGTTATGATCTTTTAAATTAGTTGATCTTTCACCACAAGTTTTACATGTTGATTCATTTTTTTGAGGACAACTCTTCCTGAAGTGCCCTATCCCATAGCAGTTAGAGCAGATTAGTACAGTTGCTTGTGCATAGAATTCAACCACTTTGTACTTTAAGTGTAGCGCAGAAATTTCTCCAGCTTCAAGTATTTCATTTCGCGCTTTTACCGACATAAATTCGAGTTTAACTGCACGTATTGGATGCTGTGATTTATTTTTTAATCGGATAGCATTTATTATGTCAGGATTAGTGACCTTTAATTCTTGAGTAAAATCCTCCCAATCTACCAGAAGTGATACAGCTGGTATCACAAGAGCGAGTTGTGGCGGAATCGATGGTCTTGTTGTGTTGTACTGCAAGCCAGCTAACACGTTGGGCCAATTTTCCTAATTGTACAAGAACAAAAATGACTCGGCGTTCTCAACAAATATTAATATGCGATGTTGGTTATCTTCTGTACGTCCACGCCTATATGCTATCATTTTTAATTCGAAGTTGCGATTTTCTTTTGCATGTTTGGTTAGATCATCAATAACTATCTTGTCACGAACTTCTTGTGAGAAAATGGCGGTAAACGGCGAGAACGGAAACAGAGTGGCAGCGAAACGACAGGCCGCTGCACTAGTTTCACATTGATTATTGGATAACTGTATCATCGGTTGATTCATACCACGATGTCGTTTTATAGGCGCATTGCTAGTGTGTGACGTGTGAGTCATCTGTGGATATTGAGGTCGTACTTGTATATATGTTTTTGATATTCCACTAGTGTCATTACGCCCTCTCTTGGTACTGGATGGTATTGGTGTTGAGGAGCTTGTTGGATTAATCATTACTGGTGCTGGTAGCTCACTGATATTAATCGGTGTCTGGCACATTGCTAGAACGGCATGTTGACAATTCGTGTTGGAATGCATTGTGGGTTGTTGTGTGCTGGTGGATATAACGTTATTGCTTGGCAATGATGGTTGTTGTGGAGCTTGTTGGATTATTAGTCTCGTTGGTGAGAACTGATGAGTACTTTGACTATTTGGCAGTTGTTGCATGTAAATATAAGGTTGAGGAGTAATCGACTGGATATTTGCCGGGATAGTATAATAGATAATTTGTTGTTCTTTTGTTATTTCCTTGTTGAAAGTTGATGCGTCAGTGTTTAATCCTTTGTATCTGTCCGAATTTTCATCGGACAAATATACTGGTTGCTGTAAACCCACAGAACTAATTGGGAAGCCCTCTGTGGAGTTCATTGATTCACAGACTCAAAAGATCTTCGTCTTAGATTCTGTGTGTAAGATAAAAGAAGAATATTTTTCAAAGAACGAAAGTAGCAAGAACAAATGCGTCTTACTACTGCATGCACGAGTAGAGAAATGAGCTGATTTTCTTGCATTATTAGCAGCTTCTGTTATTGGATTATTATTAATAAAATTTCCCCAAGCCTAAATACACAAGATAATAAATGAAATTATTTGGAAAATATTCTATTTACTTTTTTAACAGAAACAATACAATATTCATTATTATGAAAAAAATTTTGTGCAACCTAGAAGAATTCCTTATGAATATCAAGAATTAGTTCAACATACAGTTCTGGATCCTAAAACAACACAAATAAATAACTATAATGATAAGGTTTAGTGATAAATTTGTTTTAAATTAATTGCAGTGACACTGATTCGTTTCATAGATTCAATACCTTTTGGATGAAAATTGTCTTCAAAAATTTTTTCAATTGAACAATCGCATTTGGTACTCGACCAACTAATTTGAATAAACACGCGAAATCTATCAAAAAATAAATAATATTGAATTATTTAAAATTTATTAAATCGATCATATGAAATTTTGTAAATCAATTAAGTTGATAAATTTTTGTCTATATACCTGAATAGTTTTCATCGTGTAAAAGTGCTTTTGCTTGAGTATAGATTGCTTCAAGTTGCTCATGAATGAGTACTCGCTCAAGATTTTTCATTAATGGTGCTAATGTTGATGGATGTAAATACGATTCTACTCGACGTATTTCTTCTTCAAAACGTTGTTCTACCTGATATAAATAAGATTAGATTTTTTATCGTTTCTATAAAAGAAAATTGTAAACTTTTTTCAAATATTTTGTCACAGAGTTGTGAACAAGAAAATGAGCTGCTTCCTGACGATAAAATTGTTCTGTATATTGTAGAAATGGTACTTCAAAGTAATCTTTGTAAATTTCCAATGTTCAACATATTATTGGACGATTATAATATGGTACATATGAATCTTTATCGAAGCCAAATTCGACTAAAATTTTCCACATAAATTTCAAGAAAAAAGAAGAATCTTGATCTTTACTATAACTTTGTACAACTGCACGAATTAATCGAGTATTAATAATTTCATTTTGACGTTCAGCATTGATTAATTGAAGACATACTAATGTTATTTGACTTTGCAATATTTGAAAGAAAACAAACTGCCAAACTTCCATGGCCATCTCAAATTATATTAGTTTTATAATTAATTTGGAAAGATAAAGAATCTAACTTTACTTACGAAGAAAACTTCATAAACATCTCTTCTTCCTGAATTATATACTCGTTGTACCCAATGTCGATTTAGATAATGGCAAAAATCATTTGTTCCTTTACTTGAAAATCAATAATATTCCCAGTTTGTGACATAGAAATGAAGTAAACTTTGGCCTTGTAAATCAAGTCCTTTCTACAATTAAAAAATTTCATTATTAAAAACAATAACAGAAATTAAAAATTAGAAATAAAATTATTTTTGAATTAATATTACTAGTTGTCACAAGTCGCAGTAGAACCACCGAAGATTGAGAATGAAAGAGTGTAATACGAAGATAAATTATATTTATGATCGATTACTTCGTTACCTCTTTTAGTTTCAGACTGAACATTACTTGCTCCTTAACAAGCAATATAAACGCATGTGGGTAAAAAAAAACGGATGAGTTACACATGAACGCGCGACAAGTGATCTCATTACTTTGGCTATCGATGTTTCTACCATACTCCTCCGATATTCGGGTGTGGGGTGGGTGTGGGTATGGGTGTGGGTGTGTGGGTGTGGGTGTGGGTGTCGGTGTGGGTGTAGGTATGTGTGACTATGGGTGTCGGTGTGGGTGGGTGTGGGGGTGGGGGTGGGTGTAGGTGTGGGTGTGGGTGGGTGGGTGTGGGTGTGGGTGTGGATGAGTTTGGCTGTGGATGAAAAGAACATTAACATCCACACCGACACCCACACCCCACACCCACACCCACACACCCACACCCACACCCCACACCCACACCCACACACCCACACCCCACACCCACACCCACACTTACACCCACACCCACCCACACCCTCAGACGTAGTCATATATAACAGTCGATTTATAGAAACTACAACCAA